TTTCAAAGTGGCGGCGTAATAAAGCGAACAAATTCGGTGACACATCGACGATCAGTCCCCGATTGATCGATTCCTCCTCGCGAAAATTAGCCATACGAGAACAAGAACAACGAACATCGGGGTTTCCCAACGGGTTTTGGTCAAATTCGGTAAAACTATGAAAAAAATGCATGAAATACAGCTCTGATGGAACTGATGTTTCATTCCAAAATTGAGGTAAAGGTGCACTAAAAGGCTGAGGGGGCCCGAGGATTCTCTTTGAAAGGGAATGGTGTTGTGGCAAGGGTGCATTCTGCAGTTGATGAAATTTTTGCAAAATACGACCCCCTTCTTTCGAAATTTCCTCCTCTGATACAGTCCACCCTTCTCCATTCCTCCATCCCCCATCGTACCTACCCATCTTGCTAAATTTTCCCCAATTTACTACCGTCTTTACGGAGTCCTTTCTGGAAATTCCCTCACCTACTGCTTGAAAAAACTGCTGGAGAGGGGTATTTAGCGCGCTTGAAAAAAAAAGCTGGGAAAAGTCAACAATCAAGAGCATTTTGCCCGAACATGCGACTACTTCCCTTCAGCGATTAGATACGTCCCTTTTCCCCCTCATCCTCAGTCATGTGGGATCCCCAACGCACAGCATGCCTTTTGAGCTACAACGGTTTCTAATGGAAATGGTGTTTTAATTTGGAATACGCTTTGAAGCGCTAGAGCTTCAATTAAAGGCTAAGAAAAGCCTTGAGGGCATGTGTAATGGCTGTTTCCTTAGTTGGTCATTAGGTGTGGGATGGGGTGTTGTGGCAGTAGCAAGGTGTCCATCACCTCATAAATGGTCTACAGGTGTAATCTTGGCTCGCTTTCCCTTGATCCAACGAACCTTCGTTTCTTCGGTCTGGGTTGACTGGAATTAGACTGGACTGAAAGGATAAACCCCATTCACAACAATGCCAACTCATGGGCAAAAGATTTGACCCAGGCGGGACTCGAACCCGCACCTCATGCTTACCGAGCGAGTTAAATCCCGCCTGGGGTCCAGATTTTCGCTCATTCAGCATTGTGATAACTTTCGCAGCTTGAACTGTGGCGTCAAACAGTAGTTATCATGAAGAAAAACTTTTTATATGGATTGTCTTCGCAAGTAGAACGCGTGGCGCATTCTGAAAAGAAAATAACGGCACAGTTCGACTTGGTGGGGCACCAAGTAGTACTCATCGAGGCTTGTACAAGCCACCTTGCGAAGACCTGTGATTTCCTCTAGCTGAGGTGACTCGTTTCAGACATTTCGCAGCTTCCCACGAGTTTACAGGTGTTAACCTGTTAATTAGGTAACTAGCAAAAGGAATAGGCAAAGTGCTAATTGCCCCTCCAAGCAGAAGAGCGCCGAAATGACTGTGACCGAGAGCACTGGCATTTATTTCCTTAGCCGTCTCTTTGATATAAGCCAAGTGTTTCATTTCCTCTCCAAACAGTTTCGGTGCTCATGAAGACATCTTCGTCATGCCCTCTGGGGGCTAGTTGATGTTAAGATCAGTTCTCCTCATTTGCCTGGACGAGTCCGCTACCAAGAGTTACTCGAAAAAAGAAGGGGTGTCTAATAGAAGGGTAAACTGGAGCTCTTATTTATTTCGCCGGTTTTGTTTTTTTCCTTTACCTCGGAGCAATTTGCCTCAGATTTACTCGTTTAGAACTGGTAAAAAGTACACTTTTCACCCTTTCCGAGACCTCGGTAATTGCAGCTCAGAGTCCGTAATAGTCCATAAATAGCCCATAAATTTGTTCCTGGGTCAGAGTCGGCTAAAACCGGTCTCTGAGATACTTTGGCCAAGTTACATCTCTTTGATGTTGTTATATTCGCGCTGAGAGGATCAAATAAACGCCGGCGTCAGCTTCAAGCGCCAGTGATGTTCATATCGAGGGAGTTAAACTACCTTCGCCACAAATTCAAGCCGACTTCCTTCGGGGGCGAATTTCGATGAAAGTCTGGACTGTCTTTTGGAACGATTCTGTGATGGGTAAACTGCGCTGAAGCAGAGGCTGATTCAATGATTGGTCATCGCAGTACTGGCTAGATACGCATCAAGCTTAAATCCGAAGCCAGAGGGGCTCGCTAAGGGTGCTACCGTTTTCGACAGGGAGTCAAATGTATGGCGCATTCTAAAGGAAGTCAACCATTTGATTCATTGTTCCATGGTCATCTCAAGGAGCTATCTTGGCGGCAACATTGTGTGAAAACCTTCGGGAGTCGCATTCGGCTCGATGAAGTTTTATTCTTCGTTGGTTTTCACAGTTCCGCGCCCACTTCCCCCTAGTGGACTTGGTGGCAATAATACTGTTGGCGCTAGTAACCTTGTAGAGGGGTGGGGCATTTAGAAGGCTCTCTGTGTGGAGGTAGAATTATCGTAGCAGAATTAGGGACTTTTGCTAAAGCCTGAAGGGAAAAGGTGAGCGAACACAGTTCCAAGTACGGTAACTCTATTTGGATGACGTTAACAGGGCACGTCTTGCCGTTGAGGAAATTTTTGAAAAGCGATCCCCTTTCCGCTGAATTTTTTCTTGTGTTACAAAGTCCCCTTCCTATCCACCAACATTCTACTACTCCACGATTTTCTCCAACTTTCTACTACTTTCCCAGAGTTTCTTTTCCGAAGATTTTTCCAATCTTTTCACCAAAAAACTATCATAGAGCACCGTCATTTCACCTTATCTTGATGCTGCACCCAACGCTTGACAGTATTTTTATTGCTTCGATCAGTGATCTTTATACAGCCACAAAGCGAAACTCTGTATGTGAGCGTATGGCTTATCATTGAAGGTTGGCAGTAGCCCATGAAAAAATTCGACGAATGGGAGGGGAGGCTGGGGGCAGGAGGGGGTGGAGGCATTTTGCACTTTTGCTACTTCCCATCGATGTGTCAATCCATCTAAGGGAGCCATTTTCGTGAGCTTACAAGAGTCAACAGGTTTTACCATGGTAGCTCGACGAGCTTCTCCAGCTTCACTAGAGATCACAGGTTCCACCGGGGTGAGACTTGTAAACCTGAGCTAGTGAAGCAGCGAAAGTGCAAAATGCCCCTCCTGTCGCTGAACTGCACCTGAGTCTGTAACAGAACATACTGACAATCGCATTCCTATATACATTCATTCGTCATCATTGATGCTTAATCGTAAAAGCATAATGGCCGCTTGGATGTGTGTCCCATTTGTTGATACACCACGCGCTACGGGGATCCACTGTTTAAGCTGTAGTGTTTGTTTGCACAGTTCTCACCGGAACTACTTGCCAGCAAACGGTCACTAAAAGGTCTCTGTTAGCTGGGCTAGGGCCCAGAATAGAGGGATATTACGCAGTTTCTAGGTTAACGCATTCCGGACCGCCGTTGTTGAGGATCTCCGCATAATTTTATTACTTTCCAAACCAATAATAATCAATTTCATATGTTTCCTTCACTTTCCTATGAGATATTTGTGTTCTGTGCCTGAAAACGTGTTCTGGTAACTTCGAAGCATGAATAAGGTCGCAAACAGACCGTATGAAACGGCGCAGAGAGAAAACAGTATGACACACCATGTGTGTCATGCGGTCCGGAACGTGTTAAAGCATCTTAATACGACCCCATTTTCACACCTTGATTTCCTTGAGTACTGGGCAGAGTGCTACATTGCGGGGAATCCCATAGGGAGGGAGGAATCGTACTTGGTTAGTGGGGAGAGGTCTGTATCTGGTCTCAAGAAGAACTTGTGTGAACGCTGAGGAAAACTCCGGTTGTGATTTTCCCCGTTTCACATTGACTGCGCAGTAAAATAGGGCGCGAATACAGGCCCAAACTGGCCACTGGCCACCCTCCATTTTATGGACCGGATTGCATTCGATATCAGCTCTGCGTTGCTGAACGGAGGTCGGATGCATGGCGTACTCCTGAGGAGGGAGACGGTTGACCAACGTCAACCATCCCTGCAGTTTTACTTTGGAGGAAGGCATATTACCCTCAGTGATGAGTAATCGGTCTTGAGCATTCTCATCATGAAAAAAATATTACAGAGGGCTCTCACACCCATCGCTGTTCGGCTTTCGTAGGGGCATTTTGCACTTTCGCTAGTTTATTTTGTTTGTTCTTGTTAAGTTGAACGTCGGGTGAGACCTGTAGACTCTCTGCAATATAAACGAAGCTTCTGCTATTGCATAGCATTTCAGGAGATAGTGGGAAATCAACAAAATGCCCCCACCAGGCCGAACTGCATCCCCAGGTCATTACAGTTGTGATAATTCATTCGACTAGCGTCATTTCGTACAGTACGATCTCGCTACGCATTTCAATTCGTATTACTCACCATGCCCAAGTGAAAATGCAATTTGCAAATGGCGTCGAACTATACGCCTGTTTGCGCATACATGAAGGAAAATCATCAAGTTGGCTAAAAAATCGAACAAATGGGAAAAGTTGACGGGAGGAGGGGGGGGGAATAGAAAACAACCAGTTAGCCTAGTTTCCGTTCTGCCAGTTAAAAAAAAGTCGCTATGGGGGAGATAACGCTGCCATGAGATCTGCCGATTAGCAGCTTCAGTGAACTGAATTCAGACCCCCCCCCACTTCTCAATTAGTAATGAGAATTCAGTAGGTTTGTGTCAAGACACGACGCACTTCTTCATCCACCCTCTCTCTCTCGGCCTCAGAGCTGGTATCATGGTTTTGCTTACCCCAACTATCTCGAACCACTTTCACTCGACTCCGGGAACAATATAGGGCGGATTTGACTCCTGGATGGCTTCGACTCACTCCTCCCCCCCCCCCTTCCTCCCTCCCGGGCTCCCCAACGAAACAAGATCTGAGCAAAGCCTATCGGTGTTGGGAGTTCCGTGCGCCTTTTAACCCTTCAATGTCCCGAAAAGGCTCAAATGCTGTCTCTAGCGGTTTCCCCTTTTTCTGCTTACTCCATCACTCAAGTAACCTTGAGAAACTGCATGGAAAAATGTTGTCGGCATCATAAAAGGATTGAGTGACGTCTAAGGTCATCTTGGAGTATGAGGGTGCGGGATACTTCTGTCAGTGAACTTCCCAATTTTGGTTTCTCATATCGAAGCAGGGCCTTTCAGAGGTTTGAATGTTGTGCACTAAATGCCCCTTCAAGCACTTTTCCTTCGTCAAAAGCTCATTCCATTCAAGCGGCTTCTTCTTTTTTGTTAGTTCGCCCTTTAACACCTGTAAAGTCATCGGCTGAATCATCGCTATGGAAAATTTTCGGCAGAAAATCGAAAAATGGCCCTGTAAATATCCTAAACATGCCGATCAATAGGCGCATGAGTCAATTTCCTGTCCTGATCGGCAACGATGTCGAAAACGACCCAGTTTTTCGAGATGTCAACAGTGGAGGGACCGATGAGGTCCGGATTTCTTGACGATTTGTGACGGTCTGTTTGATTTTTGGTCTTCGAATCCGGCTTCGATGTCACATTCTATGGAAGCCGTGCCCTTGAAGGAATGCGCCTTTAGCAAGGACAGGAGGGTAAGCCATTGCGATGAGGGAAGTTGATCATTTAGCTTGACTCAATTACACCCCCCCCCTCACGTCCACCCTTATCTACTTCTCTATCCCTCCTACTATAAGATTTCCCGATGGACTCGTAGACTCTGCGCGAGGGTATACACTGAGCTAGCAAGAGTAAACGCCCGTAAGTCCCTCTTGTTTCGCTTGGTACCCAATCTTCACATTGGAGGCACACTCCGCGTTGATAGTGTGAGCGGAGTAAATTAGACCATTCTGGTTCTGATAGGTGTGGTGCTCCTTGTCATCTTAGGCTGCGTTCACGCTTCCGTCCACCAGCAACCATCAGCGTTTCGAGCGTCCGTCAATGTCAGCGACTAGGAAAGTATAGATATCGATCTAGCGAATGGCAGCGTCTACCAGCGTCTACAAGCGACAAGGAGTAGAGAGTATGGGGAGGTAGGAGGGTAGCAGATTGCTGGTAGAGTAAGGGAAAGTAGAAGGGAGTAGACGGCATGATTAGGCGTCGCGAAATTGTGGCGTTCTAGTACACAATACCGTACTCATGGTCGCTGATGGTCGCTGGTGGACGCTGCCGCAAAGTATGAACACAGCCTTAGAGAGAGGGGCCTGGAGGGGAGGAGGATCTACCTACTCGATCAGCTCAATATGTGCTTTAATACTGCGACCGATCACAGCAAGAGAAAGATGACCTCTCCGTTGAAAGCGAACTAGATGAAGGATTTCTTCAGTGGTCCTCCAAACAAGGATTACATGTTCCTTGTTACTGCCACCCTGACTCCAAGGAAATTCACTCTCCTCTAAGACCAAGTGCTCATGTGCCGCCTATCCAGACAAGATTGGGAGCCTTAAGTTCAGCGCATTCAGAAGGATCTAGTCACTTCTTTGTAAGCCGGTCCTTCTAGAGGTGTCCTTCTCGCTGAGTCTTTCAAGGACGGAGGAGTCCTAGCTGGTTGTTATTTCAGCAACCTCTCACTGAACAGTGGGCAACTAGGAGTGTGAATCAGAGCGTCGTTTCGTAACGGCTGACTGACTCATCGGACAGGTAAATAGATTTTGAGAGCATCGCATTTGGTGACAAAAGGGAACCATCTACGAGGTGTTCATATGTTGGGGGATAGTGGTTCTCTTCGAGAATCCTACGGACATTCTTGCGTACGATTCAGGGGTCTTAGACTGATTGTCACGTAAAAACCATGGATGTCCAGTATTGCGGTTGCATAAAGAACATTCAAGGCCGAGTGAGGGCAAAATATGGGTGCAGGTATAGGAAGGTGCCGTTTTGAGCTTTAGGATAAGGCTGGAAAGCGATGGCGTCGCGAACTTCACACTATGCCCCTAGCCTGATGGTGAGCCGTGGCAACATGTAGGCGCCCAATAGGGGACGCTGAGGGCGTTTACGGGATTCAAGCACTTGGTTTCACGCGCATTCTTGAGTACTGTATAGTTCCTGTCGTCCCGAAGTTATGATGTATTTTCGGGGCAGCTACGATAGTAAATTAAGTAGTTTTTGTGACCATTTTGCACCTAATTTGCTCTCCTTTATAGATGCTCCTTGACAAAGTTCTTCCGTTGCTTACGTAAGCGCGTTTAGCGAGCTTACGGCGATCGTGGCCTCGTAGTTCGTTTGGTGTTCCACGTTCTTATTACCCATTGCGCGAGCAATATTACCGCATGATGCTCTGCGCGAAAATCCTCGCCGCACTTAAGAGGTCGTTGAATATGACCGTCGATAGAGCGGGGTAGTTAGGCGGCAGATAGGAATGCGTTTTGGTGGTAATTGTTGTGAGAACGAAAAAAATGCAGTGAAAGGGCAATGGGAGATTCCATAGGAATACGGTTTTGGACTCTAACATGGGGAAGGGGTGCACAAATGGAGGAGGACTTCTACCCAGCCAAAAGGAGGGAGGAGCTCCGGGAACCCGATTTTGCACGGGAAGTCCTATGAATGTCTTTCCGAAAATTTTAGCGCCGCGTAGAAAATTATGAACTGGGGTCCCCAGGTTCCATCTTACAGCGAACTCCCGGGTACCTCATTGGTCCCAGTGGAGATCGATCCAGTGATCCGATCGCTGTTTGACAAGATTGCACTGGGCTTAATGGGCCCTCGCAACGGGGACTTCTGCCTGAAAAGCGGGTGGTGCTCCAGGATATGCGAACCGACTTCAACAACAGCCCTTCTCTTTGGATGGCAATATTCCCACTTTTGCACAAAGGGTCCTCTAAATGCCCCGTGCCGGGTTCTTAGCGCCTAATATTAGCTGGAAGAGAATAAAGACAGTGATTCACCAACCTCAGCTCCTGTCCTGATAGGTTCAAGTGGAAAACTTCGTCTACTTTACGAGAAATCCCATTTGCACAAGGAATTCCTGAAAAAAACCACCCCTCGCCTCCTTTACTCTTAGCCATCTTGCGCTTTTCTGTCCTTTTCCTGGAAAGGGCTTTTCCGGACGGAAAGTTCAAATTGAATTCCGCAGAAGTCACGTGCTGGTGACATGCAACTCACTCTTCTGAACCGCCACGCATTTTACTGCTATCCAAGGTCATGCAAGCGATTGAAAGGGCCAAGTGTCATATACGAAAACGTCATGACTGACTGACGCTTCTTTGTCAGTGCAGTATGAACCCATCCGCAAGGACTGTCAAAAAACCATTTATTGTCCTCCTTTTTATTGGGAATTACCCATTTCGTTCTGGTTTTATGTGATTCATAAGAGTGCACAAATACCGGTGGGGAAACATCTGATCCCTTTTTTTGTTGACAAAAGCCGCTAGACTTCGATCTCGTTGCCATTCACCTGCGTCATCTCAAGTGCTTGCAGCTTTTGTCATGAGAGCTCGAAATCTGGTGCATTTTGTGACATTTTTGACGTGCTCACGGAGAAAATGGTGAATTTGCTGCTCCCTGGAAACCAAAAAACTGTGCCTTGGTAGTAACCACAAAATAGAGGGGATCGTCCTTCTCTGTGGGAACGTCCGCCGAGTACAATACTCATTTGGGGTGAAATAGTACTCATTTGGGGTGAAATAGTTTAAGAGAGAGTAACTGAGAATCTCGGTGCGGCCCTGCCTGGGGGATAGTCTGCAGATTTTCATAGAAGTTACGGTAGCCCGCCATTCTGCAGCAGGATGCTCAGGGAATTTGAAGCGGAACTTCGCTATCTCGGCGAAAGGGCCTAGACCAGAAGGGAGTAGGAGTGTCTTGGTCCACTGTCTCACCCTGTAACCAGGGAGGAGTAGTAAAATCGCCAAGCTGCCCACTAGAGGAAGGAAGTAAATGGTAAAAACCAACAGTCGACGAAAAAATTCTCCTTGTGCAGAGACAAAAGTTTTGTCTAATTGCTGAGGGGAAAGGCGAGCAATGCTGTAGTATCATAAGTAGGATAACCCAATTTTCACTCAAAAGTCCTTTGAATACCCCCCCCCGATCCGAGGTTAGCTCTCCTATCACACCTGTCCCTCTATCGAGCACTGAACGTCCCATATCTGGGTAGATAGCCCGGTTTCGGCTCAGTGACAATGCAGTAATCGTTTTGCACTCTGTAGGGTTTTGTGTTGGCTGTACCCTCTTCAAGTCTCCCTCGACTCCTACACCGCTAAAGTATCTCAAGTAAGCTCAAGAGACTGGTGAATGCTAGGTGGTGAGCCCTTTTTACAGTATGTCAAAATAAACTGTCGGTCCTATGAAGTGAAAGCCCTCTGGTGACAGAGCACTAGATCCCTTAAAATCATCTATGAGAAAAGCCTTGGAATGGTCTATTTCTGCATTATTGGGTTATGGTCAGGAGATCCGCGTTGCGACCGCCCGCAGAAACTAGCTAAGATTGCGCAGAATGTCCTAGCTAATTGACTCAGCTTTCTGCGGCGCATTGTCGTAAAATCAGTTGGGCTGGTGCAAATGGCGCGCCCACGGCGCTCAGTGTGTCACCGTTTTCGCTGCGCTGCCGCAACTCGAACCTCCTGACCCACACCTTTGCATTACTTCTGAATTATCAAAACTACCTCTTTCAGCACACGGCATTCAGTCGTTTGAAGGAGATATTCAACACACCGCACTATGTCGAACGACGAGTGGATCAAAGTGTCGTGGAGATCGTCATCGCTCGAATTACAGCCGCCATCAGGTAATATCTTATCATATGTTATACCTATTCTTGAACTTTGTCTCCTCTCATATTTTCATTTTATAGTTCAATCGATATCAATAATTATCCAAAAATATGCATTTATCGCCAGAAAGTAGAAAATTGAGTGTCATATAGTGACGTGAAAAATATGCGCAGAAGTTGCCGGGACCCCCCGACATTTGAATACAGGCGTCAGCTATGCCTTCACCGACGTATTAACGAACACAGTTTCCAGATCCGTCCACGTCCATAGGGTCTGCAAAAAAGTGTGGTTCGAAGGATACGCCTGAGAGACCGTTGCTTCTTTGTTGGATTCGATTTCTTAGGCGTATTCCGTGGGGATATAAACCCTGGTAGAGCACCTGTATCGGAATGTCAGTGTGTCCCAAAAGCCTGAGCCCTCTGTAGGTTATGGTTACCTGGACGTCCCTTTGGTTCGCTCTTGGAGTGCGCGTCGGTCACTCTCACGCCCATGAAGAGCTGACTATTGGCTGGTCGCCCCTGTTCGAATAATCGTGGAGTTAATGGATATAAGGCATTTACCAACAGATTCCCCTTTTCCAAGAGCCCTTCCTCAAAGAAGCATCCACAGTTGAGTAACGAAGCCAAGGGGCGCGGCCCCAGGTGCAGAAAGGGCCAGCAGGGTAGGAAGGTTTATAATAACAGCGAAGAAGATCCTGGCTTCGAGGGGTCAAACTACGAAGAAATTGCATCCTTAGTGCTACCCCCCTTCCTTATTTACGGCCGAACAGAATTACGACCGCCCAAAGCGGTAAGGACACCATACAACCTCCAGCCTGATCAGGTAGAACTGCCGCCTCTGGCTGGGGAGATCGAGTATATGCGTTCGTGAGACGGAAAAAATCAACAAAAAAGATTTATTGGCCTCAATTGCTACTCCTTCCCCAGCTGCCGCAACGCTAACCCCGTCGGCCCTCTCCTTGGTGTACGCACTGATCCTTTGAATTTCTCATCGAGCAGCCGTGTACGGAGAAACGCACTGAGATCGGTTTTCGTAGATAATACCCTGCGCAATAAACTTCTGGCCCTAATTTGATGTAAGTCTATGTTCATCCGTCTAACGGGAACAGAGGCGTATCCTGATAGATCATTCGGCGTACCTGAAAGATTCATTGGCCCGTAACGGGAATTAGTCGCTCTTGTGCTTGACTACCGCTGGCTCAACGTATACCGCGAAATAACACAATTATGTCATATCACGGGTTGTACTTTCCGTTATAATCGCCCGGTCGCCGCAGACGAAATTGGAGAATGGAAAAAAAATCGGTATCACTTAGCCGTTTAGGAGGCGCCATTTAACCGGGTTTTATTCTGAACCAGCAATTTTAACACGAATTCCACGCCACGGGCTAGTATAACAGGAAGTTCGCCAGCGACCGCTCTTTCCTTCCTTTTCTAGCCTTTTTCTGAACAGATGGGCGGGTCAGTTTCTCTTGTCTTTGGCCTGGTGTGGGTCAAGAGGTGCGAATTATGGCGACGCGGCAAAAGCGACCGGCACACGCGAAATGAGCCGCGGCGCGGGACTGGACTTCGCGTTGACGCGGGCGCGGTTAAGGTACCGCTATGGCTAACTGTTTTCAAATCGCACCCACAGGTGATGCTATTTCCGGGCCTGATGACTTACTGATGGTGTAAAGAAGTCTGTTTTAGTACGCATACTATACCGTTTTTTTTCAGAGAAACCGGCTCCATTGAGACATATTCGGCCGAGTTGGTCGACGTGCTGGACAGCTGCCTGAGGCATCCGATGACCGTGTTGAATTCTGAAGGCGAATACGTCGATTCGCCTCACTGCAAAATTGCCTCCGACTTGCTTAGTAGCCTTTTTCTGGTAAGTTGACCTCTAAATAGTCTCTTGCTCCTCTTTTCCTTTTTTTCCTTTCTTTTCCTATTTTAAATTTCCTGATTTACTTATTTGCTCTTTCTTGTTTGTTCTGTTTATTCATGTGACTTGCCAGGAAAGCACGCTAATCTGGCTTGGAAGGCGCCATTCGGTCTACCAGACCTCGCTATATCTCCCATTTTTTTGTCACAAACAACTTACCGTACCTCATTCTTGATAGAGTACCTTCAAGGGAACACCCGGAAGGTCTAGCTCATAAACTGCTTGTGCTAGCATTCTTTACGACACCCTCTAACGACGCTCCTAATGGGACCAGATCCATAACCATAGCGTGTTTTCGTCATTTATACCTTCTCGGTGCTCTAGGTGGTCTGTGATTCACCTCCCTTATTCTTTACTGCCTGCTCTCAACAAAGTAAAATTTTGAGAAAATTTGCTAAGATTCCGTGCGAGTTAGGTATAGTTGATACAGTTATAGTCAGTTGGGACGGTATAAGGAGGGGCATAATGAGGCTGTCTCTGGCTGTCTTTCTTTCAGGGCACATCACTGGTTGGGGATTTTGGTCGAGTCCGTAGTCCGTCGTCGTCCCCTCTCCTTTTCGGGGGATCATCGAGCTATTGAGCGGGGGGGGGGGTAAATAGCACATGAGAAACGGAGAAGCCGCGAGAAAA